TCAGAGCCAAATGGGGGTCCCAGGGTACTAAACTACTTCTGTGTTTGCCTGCCTCAAGGCCATCCTAGTCATAAGATGTACCATGGAAGGGTGGTGATTTTCTTTCTGTGTCAGGGAGTCCCTAGTAGTTTTGTTTGATAGATTTCTTTTTATCTCGGCTCACCTAAGAAAGATTCAAACCAGGGGAGAAAATACGATTAGCATCTACTCTAGATGCTCTGTTTTATAAGACATGCATGCACACAGTCAGGGATGAACACAAGGCTGGTATGTTGATGTGCCTCTTTCCTCTGTAGTAGGGATTGTGTTGGGTGGGGACTTAATGACATCTTTAGCTTTCTGTGTTATTACAGTTATGGCCATGAGATCAAGTTCTCTATAAAAAGTGTAAGTAACCTTATGGCTACTGTCATTCTTTCTCACTTGCTCTCTCCTTCCCAATAGATACAGTGAACAGGTCCCAGATGACCCCCAAGAACACAGCTAGGAAAGATCCCAGATGGCTGCAAGTCACGTGGAGGGGAGTCCTTGCATGCCTGCACTAATCCACAGCATGAATAAGACCAGATGCTGCTGCGATGCAGAACACTAGACTTTATTTGATATTGTAGTTCAGCCTGCTTTAATCCACATACATGTTCTGTGAAAGAAATAGCATCCATCCCATGACATGGTGGATGAAAACAATGCAGTGTGTTTAAACACTTTTTCAAACACAAGAGAAATCCAGTTATTTGAGATTAATTTGTGGCCTAAAAAAGCATTTTTAGAAGTCCAGAAAATCTTGGGCTTGCCAGATGGCTCAGTGGGAAAGGTGCTTGCTGCCAAACCTGATGACCTGAGTTTGATCCTCCTGGGCCGACTTAATGGAAGGAGAGAACCAACTCCAGTAAGCTCTCCTCTGATTTCCACAGGCATGCTGTGACACGCCCCCCTCCCACACACATACAAAATAAATACATTAAAAAACCTTCAAACTCAATAAAGGTTGAGTCACAGGGAGGTTGGGGGGCATTTGAGCCGGCTTCTGAGACACCCACTTCAGAAGCACACGTTTCTCCTTCACCATCTTCCCTAACAACTCAAAGGTTGCCTCCCTGAACTTCCTGCAACTGAAAGAGTTGGAAATTGTGCATTTCTAGGAAATCTTAACTGATTCTTAAAGGACTCAGTATTTCTACCCAGTCTCTCCTGCTGCCAGTTTCAAAGGCATCACTGTATGGGTAAAAAAAAAAAAAAAATCAAAGTGTTTTAAACTGCATCACCTCAACAATACTAAAATATGTTTGTAGCTAAATAATATTTTCTGTTTTTACGGTTTTTTTAAGTAGCATTTTCTTCCAATATATCTTTGTTAGATAAACTGAAAATTTGTACAGTCAAAAATAAAAACATAAAATATAGATACAGATATTTAAGCGTGAGTAGAATCATATAGGACTTTTGTCTTTTTGAGTTCTAGTCACTGTTTCTGAAAAGAATATCCTTAAACATCTGTCATTTGCTTTTTATTTTAATCACTCATCACTAGAATTCCTGTTTATGTTCTAAAATTTTTCTTTTTATAAATATTTACGTGAAACACAAAGTTATATTAAAAATGTAAAAACAAGGGGCTGGGGAGATGGTTCAGGAGGCAAAGCACTTGTAAAAGAAGGAGGAGCTGAGTTTGGATCCCCAGCACCCATATAAGTCCTTGGCATAGTACCAGTGTACAGAAGGTGGAGACCAGCTCCCCAGAGCAAGACAGCTAGCTACACTGGCAGGAGCAGGCAACTCTGAGCTGAAGAGGGAGGCCCTGCATCAATGGAAGGTGGAGAGCAAGTATGCTGTTGAGGTCAGCCTCAGCCCTCCATATGCATACACACTCAACTACATCCACACACATGCAAATGCTCATGAACACACGCATGCACACCACACACACACAGACACAAAAAAAGAAAATAGAACAATAGGAACTCACCCTTTCCAAAATAAAGTCAAACAAAACAAAAGTAAAGGGAAATTTACTGTTAAAATGAGTTTCTCAAATTTGTTTGAAGAAAATCATATTTCTCTTTTGCCAAGAGTACAAACAAAACAAAACTTTATCATATTAATCCTCTCAAAATTGATGAAAATGGAAAAGTCACTGTTGGAATTCATTAACAGATGAAGTTAAGATTTTTCTGAAGCCTGGATTTGAAGTTTAAGCTCCTAGCATGGAGGGCCACTCCCTGGGTGATAACCGCCAAGGCTTCTTTCCCTGCTGTTGAAGATGCTCCCCACATTATTGCTAATAGGCCAGACACCAGGACTGCCATGGTTGCCATGGCAAACATTTTGTTACCTCTCCAAGCAATAAATGATGAGAGCAGCCTCCAGATGTTATGCGTAGTTTTTCTAAAGACAAACTATATGCATACCAGCTCCTGTTTCTGAATCAGGTCAAAATTAAGAGTGAAACTTGTACAGATACATGGAGGCCGAGTGTCAACTGAGGTGGAGCTGATGTTTCAGAGAATACTAACTAGAAACATTCCCATAAATTCTGCAGTTTATGTTTAAAAGGATTTTATAGAAATCTAAACATGAAGGAAATTAAAAAATATTACATGTATTTGTGTGTGTGTGTGTATGTGTGTGTGTGTGTGTATGTGTGCATGTACACACTTGGATGCTTGCATGCCACAGCCCACATTTGGAGGTCATAGGACAACTTGCAGTAGTCTTCTACAGTGGGGGGCTACAGGAATTGAACTCAGACTTAGTCTTCACAGTAGGCGCCTTTACCGACTAAGCAATGTTTTAAGTTTAAAAGAAAAACAATCTCATCTTAGATTTTTACTACATCCAGAATTTACCCATAACTTATCAAACATAAAATCAGGGGTGATTTTAAGGTTGTCTTCTTTTATTCCCAGCACCCTAAAAGCCTGTTCTACCACGTACTGGAATGTTTACTTGTTTTTCTTTTTCTGGGGATAAGGTGTCATATAGCTCAGGCTGTTCTTAATGTAACTGAGGCTGACCTTGACCTCCTGATTCCTCTGCCTCAACCTCTCCAGTATTGGTAATACAGGCCTGTGCCACTATACCTGGTTTTATGTAATGATGGGAATTAACCAGGATTTTGCATGTTAAGTGCAAACTCTACCACCCATTTTGGATTGTTT